TAGATTACCGGGAGTTGAACAAATTAACGGTTAAGAATCGTTATCCGTTGCTGATGATTGATGAGTTATTTGATCAACTTTAGGGGGCATCTTGGTTCTCCAAGATTGATTTGAGGTCTGGATATCACCAGATGAGGGTGCGTGATGAAGATATCCAGAAGACAACGTTCAGGACACGATACGGGCACTATGAGTTCGTGGTGATGCCTTTGGGGTCACCAATGCACCAGTAGCGTTCATGGATCTCATGAACAGAGTGTGCAGGCTGATGTTGGATCGCTTGGTGATCGTGTTCATCGATGACATATTGGTGTATTCGAGGTCTAGAGAGCAGCATGAGGAGCATTTGAGGGAGATCCTCGGGGTTTTGAGATCAGAGAGGCTCTATGCCAAATTCTCCAAGTGTGATTTCTGGTTACGGGAGGTCCAGTTCCTGGGACATCTCGTTAACCAGAATGGGATTTTGGTCGATTCGGCCAAGATTGAGGCGGTGATAAGTTGGGAGGTACCGAAGTCTGCCTCCGAGATCAGGAGTTTTCTGGGGTTGGCCGGTTATTATCGGAGATTCATTCAGGATTTCTCCAAGATTGTAGTGCCACTCACTAGTTTGACCCGGAAGGGTGTTGCTTTCTCATGGGGTCCAGAGCAGCAGACCTCGTTTGAGACTCTTCGCCAGAAGTTGTGTGAAGCCCCAGTGCTATCCCTCCTAGAGGGAGTTGATGATTTCGTGGTCTATTGTGACGCATCTATATCCGGGTTAGGTGCAGTGCTCATGCAGAGGGGGAATTTGATAGCGTATGCATCGAGGCAGTTGAAGCCTCATGAGGTGAGGTATCCCACTCACGATCTGGAGTTGGGGGCAGTAGTGTTCGCCCTCAAGATCTGGCGTCACTATCTGTATGGGGTTCGGTGTACCATATACACGGACCACAAGAGTTTGAAGTACTTAATGGATCAGCCCAACTTGAACATGCGGCAAAGGAGATGGTTAGATGTGGTAAAGGATTATGATTGTGAGATCCTGTACCACCTGGGCAAGGCTAATGTGGTAGCCAACGCCCTGAGTCGTAAGGCAGAGAGTGCCCCGATACGAGACATTTGTATGAGATTGACTGTGATGATTCCGGTGTTGGACACCATTCGAGGGGCCCAGGCTGTGGCAGTGAGACCGGAGAACCATAAGAGAGAGAGGGTTATTGGGCAGGTGTTGGAGTTCGTTACCGATAGCCGAGGGCTTATGACTTTTCAGGGTTAGATTTGGGTACCGTTTGTGGTCGGGACGCATACCATTTTAATGGAGGAGGTGCATAGTTCGAGGTTCTCGATCCATCCTGGGGCCACTAAGATGTATTTGGACCTGAAGAGGGAGTATTGGCGACCCTGTATGAAGAGGGACGTCGTGTGGTTCGTTGAGAGGTGCCTAACCTTTCGTAGGGTTAAGGCCGAGCACCAGAGACCGCATGGTAAGTTGCAGCCATTAGAGGTTCCCGAGTGGAAGTGGGAACATATTACCATGGATTTTATCACCAAATTGCCGAGGACTGCGAGGGGCGTCAATGCAATTTGGGTGATTGTAGACAGGTTAACGAAGAGCGCTCACTTCCTGGCTATCAGTGAGAGCTCTTCCGCTGAGAGGTTGGCAGAGATGTATGTGAGGGAGGTGGTATCACGACATGGAGTGCCGATCTCGATTGTCTCAGATCGAGATGTGCGTTTCACTCCAGATTCTGGAAGAAATTTCATGAGGAATTGGGTACGAGGCTGCATTTTAGTACCACATACCACCCACAGACTGACGGGCAGAGTGAAAGGACGATTTAGACGCTTGAGGACATGCTCCGAGCATGTGTGTTGGATTTTGGCGGGAGTTGGGACACGTATTTACCCTTGGCGGAGTTTTCCTACAACAACAGCCATCATTCGAGCATTGGTATGCCACCCTTTGAGCTGTTGTATGGGAGGAGGTGGCAAAATCCTATTTGTTGGGGAGAGGTAGGGCAGCGTGTGATGGGTAGTACAGAGATAGTGCTTCAAACGACAAAGCAGATACAACAGGTCAGAAAGAGGTTGTTGACCGCTCAGAGTCGCCAGAAGAGTTATGCGAACAGGCGCCGGTCCGAGCTAGAATTTTAGGTCGGCGACTTTGTACTCCTGAAGGTCTCTCCTTGGAAAGGAGTGATCCGATTTAGGAAGAAGGGAAAACTGGAGCCCCGATATATTGGTCCTTTCAGGGTGATCGCGAGAGTAGGCAGGGTAGCCTACCGGTTGGAACTACCTGCAGAGTTGGGCCAGATTCATGACACCTTCCACGTATCTCAGCTGAGGAAGTGTATAGCCGACGAGTCTGCAGTGGTACCATTAGAGGATATTCAGGTGGATGCGAGCCTAAACTATGTTGAGAGACCGGTGACTATCAGGTATCAGAAGATCAAGGTTCTGAGGAACAAGGAAGTGCCTCTGGTGCAGGTCTAGTGGTAGCATCGGAAGGGGTCGGAGTTGACTTGGAAGCCGGAGCGTGAGATGCGTGAGCAACATCCATATTTGTTTACAGAGTAAGACTTTGAGGATGAAGTTTGATTCTAGTGGGGGAGAATTGTAACATCCGGATCCCCAGGTACATTATTGTATTCATTTATTTTGGGGTTTGTGGAGGGACTCGGCGAGTTGGTGCTTAGACTCGCCAAGTCCGTGATGTTTAATGAAACCCTAATCTCTCGGGTTTGGGACCTATTTAAAGGCCCTTATGGCTATCAGTCCCTTGAGAGAAACCCTAGAGTGCTTGAGCGTTTTGAGAAAGAGAGAGAGGAAGCCATTGTTGACCTTTGAGGTATTGTTTAGCAAGAAGAAGGAGATTCTAGCCAAGAGGAAGCAAAGGAGGTTTCCATTCTATGGATTTGGAGCTTAGGGCATCACATTTGAGGTAGTAATTCGGCCTCCCTTCTATTGTTATGATGATCATATGGATTTAGGGTTTCTTGGACCCTTTATTGGTTAGATTTGATGTCCAATTAGTCCCTTATTGTGATGAGGCTTTAGATTTGGATCCATAGAGGTCCAGAGAGCATTACTCATCAAGCCTTATGAAGAACAATGGGGGTTTTGACCTCGGGTTATGATATTTGGGGCTAAAACATCATATAGGATCAAATAGATGTTGCATGTGCATCAAGATATAGACTTTACGTGAGTATCATGCTTGGGAAGGTCGGATCTATGGATTAATGGAACAGATCTGACCTCAGGAGGTCATTTGGGTTTGTGCATGACATGGACTCACCGAGTCCAAGAACAGACTCGACGAGTAGGGTTAGGGTTTCCCTGTAAATCACATAGTTGGTGACTCACCGGGTTGGGGAATGACTCGGTGAGTCAGAAGGGATCTAGAGGTCATGAGTACGCGATGGAACTCGCCGAGTTCATAATTGGACTCGACGAGTTGAGTCGGGGTGGCCCCGCGATTCAAGCCAGGTGTTACTCGTCGAGCAAGGGAAAGAATCGACGTGTTAAGCGGGACTAGAGGGGTACGGGTGGAGACAGGTGAACTTGCCGAGTTGCCCGAGGGCACTCGACGAGTCGGGTCAAAGGTTGACCGTTGACCAGCATTGACCAGGGTGGACTAGTGTTGACTTGATAGTGTCAGTCAAACAAAGTCAGGAAAGTATTAATAAGAGTTGTACTTATGATATAGGAGGACGATATGTCGGGAGATCGGGCACGAGTGATTATCCGACATCAGCGAGGTGAGTCTTCTCACTATGCCTTACCCGATGGGGTAATTATGTGTGACCGGAAGGTCTTATGTGTATGATGTATATGTGATGTATGCTATATGTGATATGTTGTGATATGAGTATGATGATGTTGACCAGAAGGTCAACAGAGTCTGGGATGGAAATCCTTTAAGACACTTGGATCGGAAGATCCTAGGGCCTGGAAAGGCGTATGTGCGGTATGTGGTATTTGGGGAACTCACTAAGAATTCGTGCTTACAATGTTATGTGTTATGTGTTTCAGGTACTAGCGAGGATCGCGGGAAGGCGCCAGCTTGATCACTACACACTTGCAGATGTCATGTTTTTGAGGTCTTGGGTTATGGATTATGCTATGTATTTTGTGGAAACATTGGATACTTGACTTTTGGATGATTTAATAATGAAATGTTTTATTAAAAATTAAACGAAAAATTGTTTTAAATTTTACGGTGTTACAACTGTACCCATGGGTGAAGGCACTAATGCCGACCCACTAGGATATGTTATATAGGATGCTAGATGTCTTTATGACTATTGCATTGTATGATGGGTTGGCCTCAAGGACATGCATGTAGGGTTGGGTCTAATTTCATGAGAGGGTTAGGCCCATTATATGTAGGGATAGGCCCATTGTATGTCTGGCTAGGCCCATTTATATGCTGGCTGGACGCCTGGGCCCATTGATGAGGAAGGGCTAGGCCCGTTAGTATGGGTTGGGCCCAATGTGCGGGCTAGGCCAAATGATATGTATGGTTTGTGGTATTTTAGGGAACTCACTAAGCTTTGTGTTTACGGTTTCATCTTTATGGTTTCAGGTACTTCCGGTTCGAAAGGGAAGGGCCCGATGTGACTGCACAGTATCCCCCCAGAGTTTATTCCGCATTTGATTAATCATGATTTTTACTCTGATGTTTAAATACTATTTTTCACATCGAATGATTTCGGGAATGGAATGTTATATGAATTAATGTTATTAAAATGAAAATTTTACTATGAATTTTTGGGACGTTATAGAATGACCACTAGAACAACTCGATCTGTAATTAAATGTCCTTTGACTCGATCTGCTGTCAAATGACCACCAGAACAGCTCCCCACCAACTCTAACAATGACTAGATATGGAAATAACGGACCTTTCCGGCGAAGAACTGATCTGGAAGTATCCGACGAGGGCCTTTAAGCTGAAGGCGTTCCGAAAAAAGAGGTCTATGTTGTCTTTCAGATCTTCATAGAGCTAGGCATCAGATATGGAATCCGACGACGTGGTGGCAGTTTCTAGCGACGACGTTGGCGGTTTCCGACAGTGGGGGTATTTTTCGACGAAGTGTTAGAGAGAGAGAGAGAGAGAGAGAGAGATGTAGATGGGGTAGGGTTTGGGTAGGTTATTAGGGGGTATGTTCATATTTTGTTTTATTTTGATCAAATAATAGTAAAGGAAATAAAAAGAAAATGAAAACAAACAGAAAAGGAAAAACAAATTTGTAATATAAAGTTCGAGAAATTTTATAATTTTGAGAAAATATGGACTAGATTCGTAAAAATAATTGAACATTCAACTAAAGTTGTAAAAATAAAAGACAAAATTCGCCAAAACTGATTAAATATTGGTTTAAAACAGTAAAAAGAAAAGAAAAGGTTGCGCTAAAATTGTAAAACATCGAAGTCGGATGGGTCATGTAGTTTAGATGTTGTTTGTACGGTGATAAGGCTAAGGAGCATGGTCACCAACACACCATTAGAAAAGTGTTGCCAACTCAGTGTTATGTCAATTCCACTACATGTCCATTACCAAAACATTAACCACTGAAATGGTTACAACTCCACAATTTTTATCTTTTTTTTATCTTTTTTTTCATTAAATTAAATAAAAAAACATAATTTAAAACATAAATAAATATTTTACATTAATTAAACACACACAAATTTAAATCCTAAAATACTTAACAAAACATAAAAAATAAAAACCTAAATTACTAAAAAACATAAAACATACCAAATAAAACCAAATATTAAAATATTAGAACCTAATTTTTATATTTTTACAGAATTGTTATTGGATTTTTAGAAACTTCGATAGATTTTCCGGGTCATGGTTGGGCTTTATGTTTATGATTTGAAGATCAGTAATTGCCATTTTCCGGCAACGAGCTTCCTCCGTTGCTTCATATTTTTTTTCTTGAAAACTTAGAGTTTTGTCTATTTTTTTTCGCAGGTACGTCTTCGCTACTCGCTTTTCCGCTTAAAGATGTCGCCTTTTTCGCTTTGTCCCTTCCTGGTGGTCGACGAAGTTGGACTTCCGGTGGACCCTCCCTATCGGTGTCGTCGAAGTCATCATTGAGGTCAAGACCATAACCCACGTCTGACTTGAAAGTTATTGACTTTTTGTTGGAGCCGGTTGTAGATCCCGAATGCGTCGTCCCGGATAAAGGACCCGATTTGGATCTTTACGACAAACTTCCCATGCTTTTTGGTTGCATAATGGTTTACCATCATTGGTAATTTTGTATTGATAGCATGCAGTCGATATAATGTTAAAATTGTTGCTACCACTTTTGTGTATATTTTTAAAATTGTCAAATATGTCATTATATTTGGTGTAAGCCACTCGTAGGTCACACAATTTTGCATTGACTGCGTCGTACGTCCGACATGTTTTCCTTCATAATAGCGCGTGCAAGTGGTCTAAAATACAATTCCAAAAACATTGACCCGATTGCACGTTGCTAACTTGTTTGTCTTGCGATATGAAAATCCAAGCTTTCGCTAAAGTTTCCTCATCGCCTTCGTTCAATTGCGTAGTTTTTTTTGGAGCTTTTCCTTTTTGTTGCCTTCTTCGAGATGGTTGTGTTTCTTGGACCCGTTCGTCGTCGTTATCGAGGTTTATAGGTTGAGATTGAGATAATGAGACTTGAGATGGTTGTGAAGGTTGTGCTTGAAATTGTTGAGGTTGAGAAGATTAGGGTTGAAATTGTTGATATGCTTGTTGTTGAAAGGCTTGAAATTGTGGTTGATTGAATCGTTGTGTTGGTTGTTGTTGATAGTAGTTTAGATGGTATGAAAGATTGGTGAACGGAGTTTGTTGGTGGATTAAAGATGTTACTAATTGCATGTAACTAAGATTTGCATATGGATCATTTGTAGTGTTTGGGGTGTTTGAAGTGGGTGGAGCATTTTGATTTGGATCCATAGGTTGAAGAAAAAGTGAGAAAATAGAAAGAAATTGTGTTTTTTGTAGTGTGAAATGTATAGAAAATAGATGGTATTTATAGTTGTAGTTTGTGTTTTTTAAAAGTGAAAATTATATATATATATATATATATATATATATATATATATATATATATATATATATATATATATATATATATATTCAACTGATATAAGAAAAAGGGAAAAAACGATCAAATATGTGACCGTTGTTGCTGTTGCTTTCCGATTCGTTGTCTTCCTCTATTTTCGTAGTCACTCCACACCCATGCCACCCGTTTATGGGGTAGTATTCACATGTCCTTTAGGCTGTCACATTAGAAATCACGCGTCTCTTGCACCACCATACCGTATAGCCTAAGTGGTTTGAAGAGGATGGTCCAATACTGCACCATGCGACACAAACTCAACATTTTTTCAAGTTAGAAGTCTTCTGAAAAACAAACAATTGCAAAAGACCAAGTGACACATCACAAGTTCAACGGTTTTTAAATTAGAAATCTTATAAAAAACAAACAACTCTCAAATATCAAATGTTATGCACGGCGTTGCCATAGAATTAATGCATTGGGTGAGATTCGAACCCTACCCTCTATAGGAAAACAACGCGAAACTAAATTTTTTCTTGTTGTACTTGTCCCGTATAAATTAATTTATTTTATAAATTTATTGTTTAAATAGTTTTGTTTTTTTTTTTTAAATAACTTTTTAACAACTAAAGTGTACATGGACATGAACACACATATCTTAAAAAAAAGATTTGCCTTTTAACAAACAAAAGACATAAAACATCTATATATCACCTTTAATATTTGATGAGATCATAAAAACAGTTACACTAGAGTTAATGAACTAATTTATAAATTCACATTTGATAAGTTAATAAATTAACTTATAAATTAAAAAAAACATTTAAGAATAAAGAATTAAATATTAAAAAAAATCAGTACACTTATAATATTCTTTTAATCTTTAATATCTCAGCCGACTTCCATGTTCTTCATAGGGACGTAGTCAAAATAACCGCGCAAAAGACACAAAAAAAATATCCCCATCCTACCTGCTCCTACACCACCACATCAACACTTACGTGGCGCGCATTCGGCAACAAAACCGGGTAGATAACCCGACGAATACGTCGTCGTATCATCATCTCTACGTCCAGCTTGTCAGCTCAACCGGTTTTCCTTTCCATCTCCGATGACCCCACTAAGCACACGATCTTCCAGTAATTTCTCCCACCTTTCCATTAAATCAAACCCTTTGATCTCCAGCTTCCCCACCATCAGTTTTCTAAAGAAATCGTGCTTCGTGATCTCTGATTTCGTATCACAGTCTTACTGATCGTCTTCGCCGGAGCAATACGATGATGTCCGGTGATGATTTAGAAGGCAGGGGAAGATCGAAGAACAGTACCAGAACTACAGAAAATTATCATTCATCGTATGCAGAAAGCTATTGGACTTCATGGTTGATCCCTGTTTTCGTGGTTGTTAATATCGCTGTTTTCGTTGTTCTCATGTACGTCAATGATTGCCCTAAACACAATCGTTCGCGTATCTACGGCAAGTGTGTTGCGAGGTTTCTTGGTCGATTCTCGTTTCAGCCCCTCAGAGAAAACCCTACCTTTGGTGCTTCAGCGAACTCGTAATTCATCACTTATCCCTTTTCTTTCAGTTTACTGATACTCCATTCAAATTTTGATTCTCAGCGTATTTATGATATAAATCTGTTTAATTAGGGGATTGAAATTTCAATTGACTTTTGGTGTCAAATCTGTACTTCCGATTTCAAAATTGGTTTAAACCCTAATTCACTGCAACTTTTTGTTTCTCATGTAAAGCCTCGAGAAACTGGGAGCTCTTCAATGGCGGAAAATCGTGCACGGAAATCAAGGATGGAGACTTGTCACCGCTAACTGGTTACACGCCGGATTGATTCATCTAGTCGCTAATATGTTAAGCCTCGTCCTCATCGGCATTCGCCTTGAACAACAATTTGGATTTCGTAAGTACAATCACACCTTCAATACCTCATTTTCTTCCAATTTCTAGTTCCTTTTACATGAACACAACACTTCCTGAAAATCTCTGCAGTTCGCGTGGGATTGATCTATCTGTTATCAGGATTCGGGGGTAGCATTCTTTCTTCCTTATTCCTTCAAAACAACATCTCAGTTGGTGCCTCCGGTGCTCTCTTCGGTTTACTCGGGACGATGCTCTCCGAACTCATCACAAACTGGACAATCTACTCCAACAAGGTGAACGAAATTCCATTTTTGCCCCTACAACTGCTCTTGGCGCTTTTGATAGCGAAAAATTTCATCTTTTTTCCAGGCTGCAGCGTTGATAACACTCATCATCATCATCGTTGTCAACTTAGCTGTTGGAATTTTGCCATTTGTTGACAATTTTGCCCATATCGGTGGATTCTTGACTGGTTTTCTTCTAGGGTTTGTTTTGCTACCTCGACCTCAATTTGGGTGGTTAGAAAGACACAATCTTCCAGCTGATGTTCGTGTTAGATCCAAATACAAGGTTTATCAGTATGTGTTTGGTTTGATGGCGTTAGTTCTTCTTGTTGCAGGGTAAAGTTGTAATTTTGAAATTAATTGTTATATTTTGAAATTAAAGTGATAATGTGAGTTTAATATTTGAGTTGTTGTGTTAATGCAGATTTACGATGGGATTGGTGATGTTGTTTCATGGAGAAAATGGATACAAGCATTGCAATTGGTGTCGCTATTTGAATTGTGTGCCTACTTCAAAATGGGAGTGTAATAGTAGTTAGTTCGTATGTGGTATAATAGTGTGTGAATAGTTGCATAGTTTTTTTTTTCTTTGAATTTGATTGGTTTTGTGTTACAAAGAAATTTTCTTTATGATATTTGTATTTTTGTTTATGGAACTATATATTTATTCATTATTAGGGTACTTATAATGCATCGATTTCAATAAAGTTTAATGGATTGTTAACTATTTTTTTTACAGTGATTCATTCATTTTTTTTTCTTACAATATATTAAACTTTATAAAGTTGAATAGAATGTTATAAAATGTAATTTATAGTAAATATTTAAGAATTAATTTTTTTTTCTATTAAAGAGTTGGACGTTAAATTTAATGAACATCAAAATAGTATTTTATAATGATAGAGTTTTGTTTATCGAATGATATATAGATTTACCATTTCATTTAATTTTCTCTGAGAATGTTCTTATTGTCAATGACCAATTCACAAAGGGATGTTGTGTGATTGTTTTTGTGATATTAGTATGTTTGTTACACTTATTGTTATTGAACAATTCACAAATGGATGGTTGTGTGATTGTTTTTGTGATATTAGTAATTTACATTTGTAACAAACGAATAAGTTCTAGTATATTAATCTCGGTATAAATATTGTGTGGTATCGTTTGACAAAAATAAGTATACGATTATGAAAGGTGTAAAGTTATATAAAGCAAAAAGTGTAGATTCCCTTGTAGGGGAGAACATCTATTTCCTCGTATTTCATTGTCATTTGTTCCCACTAAAAAACACATTTAATTATTTCTATTTATCGTTTTTTCTCTCTTTTTTTTTTCTCCCTATTCTTTAGTTAAAAGACTCGAGAACACATGTTTAAGACTTTAAAGCTCATATTACAAACAAAGTTTTATTTAATACCCTTTTCTTTAGAACTTAATAGCAAAGCAAGAGATACAAGCACGGGTCACACATGACATTCCATCCTGCTATTTCATTCAAGTCTACAACCCACCATAAAGTTAAGGGGTATGGTCACCATCATGTGAGATATCCCATGTGAGATATTACAAACATGCTAAGACTAGTTGGCCTGCTGCGACGTTCTTCAGACATCAGAATGTTAGACAATTATCATCCCAAACCTGCTGGTCTAGCTGTAAATGTAACAAAACTAGTATGTATGTGTGTGAAATCACTAAATTAACAAGGAAATGCTTACCAAAAATCTAAGAACCAACTTGGAATAATTAATCTTTGGAAGATTAGAGCTTGTTCTTAAGAGAAAATGGAGAAAAGTGAAGAAGGTGAGGTGAGGGAAGGCCCTCTCGACCGCAACCTTTAGGGGGGTGGGGGGGGGGGGTGTAGGAGGGGTGGATGGGGGTGGGGTGGGGTGTTGCATGGTTACATGTTGGGTATTGCTTTGTTATTTTTTGGGTAAAAATTTTGTTGGGAAAAGATGGAGCAAGTCTTATCTAGTTTAGTGCTTACATAACTCCCAAAGTCAACTCTCTCTTTTTTATAAAAATGTTGAGAGTGTTAATTTTTATAAAAAATGTGGTATAATAGTGTATAATTACTTAATTTGAGTCACAAAATTCCAAATTAATATAAAATTCTTAATATCATAGACGATATTAGCACATTGTTTTATGAATATTTTTTTGGCCAAAATAATATTAACTTGAAATATTCAAATTTCACTTGTTAACCCAAATAGAATTTCGAAGTAATAATTTGTGAAAAGAGCGGTACTTTGTATTAATACTTGTATGTTGTACATTAGGAATGTTAGGAAACATAGTGTTTGTCTTAAAATCCTAATAATAGTAGAGTTGACTTGTTGACTTTGATCCATAATTGCCGGTTGTCACCCAAGAGTAATATTAGGGAAATGCAAACAAAATGATACATTCAACCACTTGCACAATATATAGAAAGTTAGGTAAAAAACTTAAAGACCTCAAATCAAAGAAGCAAAACCTACGAAAATTATGTAGTAGTGCAAATGCCTGTGAATTTATTGATCCTCAAGTAGGATGAATTCAGCACGAATAGTTTGATATATTAACACACAATTTTAGATTGATTGGTTAATTAACGTTATTGTACACTATTTTTTGTATTTCTTAACCGGGTCTCAATTATTACTGTTTAAACCTCTTTTAAATCTTTTGAATTTACTTGTTGAAAATTATTGAGATGTATTCACTTTCGTATCTCACCATGAACTCTTAAGCACAATTAATGGTCAAAATTTTTATGTAGAGCAATCTGGAAAATTAACAACAAGAACTTCTCTTGTGTGAAAAAGATTAGGAATAATGATAAATTTTAATCAGATTTTTGCAGGGGCGATGGTCCGATGGAGAACACTGAACTGTAACATACACATTATTAACCTAGTTCAATTATCGTGTTTTGTAAGCTTGTTAGCTTAAAAATGAATAATATTATTAAAAGTTATATGATTTTAAGTGTTGAGTTATAATAAGATAGTTTTTACGAGATTTGAAGTAAAATTATGTTTAGAATCATTCGGAAAGTGTCACACCCCCGAACCAGACGACGGAAACGTTCGGGGGCTTGTGCGTGACTTCATCTTGAAATATCATTACAGTGAATATAATTGAAACACAACATCATCATCATCACACATGTAATATAACAACATTTATTGTTTACATCGAGTATTGTATTTGAATATTACATGCCAAAATAATAAGAGTATGATGAAACAAAATATAACACAATATCCATTAGTTTGATTCGTTCATCCTGCTTCAACGGTTTCCTGAGAATACAAGTTATTTTGAAAAACGTTCAACATAAAAATGTTGGTGAGTTCATAAGCATGTTTGTGAAAATGATTTGTATAACTTTGAAACCACCAAAAAATCCGATATTTTCTGCAAACTATTTAGAATGTTTGTGTCAGATCTTGTATTAATGCATGTATGTTTTTGTTTATTTGACTAAAAGGGGTAAAGAGAATGTATAGGGAATGTAATGAGCATGTAAATAGAATGTTCTCAGACAACCCGATGTTGCCTGTAAAAGAGAAAGTTGTCGTACCAACCCCGGAGGTTGAGTACCAGTACGAGAATGTTTCCGAGTAATCCAAGAGAAAAGAGAAAGGTCTTCCGTAAACTTCATAACGTTAATTCCTCTAACTGAGCCGTCATAACCATATTAAATAATGACAATTTCACCTGTCTTAGCGTTGTTGGACGCCGGTTTTGATTTTTGATTATAAGGTTTTTATCACCCTAGACTGAGTTAGTCTAACTGTAGCGAACAGCTCAGGTGTGGGGTGTCATCCCCGTATAAATCTATACAAAAATCTCCACTCTCCCTCCAAGAGACTTTGGTTATAACTACAGGCTACGATCGTACACTTAATTGGTGCCAACCGACAAAACTCACTAGATCCTTAATCGAATTTACGCGAAGAAAGGTATAATCTCATTCCATGCCCAATGAACCATGTAAGTGAACCACTAAGGCATCGCTAAACATGTAAATCATTTAAAAGCCCAAATTGGAATGAAATTATATAACATGGGCCCGAAATATATATGAAACAACAACTAAGTCCCATTTCACATGTAAGGTATTTACAGGCCCAAATAGCACACAAATAGTATCCAAGGTCTGTCGCACATGTTAATGGGTTAATGAGGCCCAATAAACATATAAATAGTATACAGGACCTATCACACATAAAAATGGGTCACTAAGGCCCAATAATCTAGAAAATGATCAAAAGAATCTATTTGTTAGTTATTGTTGGTTTTGGTTATAGTATTTACTAAAATAGCAAAAGAAAGAAGAACGCATATAAAACTCATTCTCAGGTCCAATAAATATGTAAGTGGACCACTAAGGCCCACTATACGTGTCTATTATTTCCAGGCTCAAAGGAATATGAATGTCTATCATAAACCCAATATACATGTAAAAGGACACTAAGGCCCACTAAACATGTATATTATTTCCAGGTCCGATAAGGATATGAATATCGTTTTTAACCCGTTTGTTATTGTTTTGTTTATTTTAGTTTGATTATTTACAAAGTTGATATAAAAAGCCCACTTTTTGTAAAAATGACATTCTTGGCCCAATAATCCAAAAATTTGCAATTAAGGCCCAATTTTTGTAAGAATAACTCTTTAGTCTCCATTTTGTTCAAAACTTGTGTTGATGACTAGTTTGTGGTAAAATTAACATTTTAAACCCATTTTTTTTCAAAATATCATTTTTGGCTTGATTTTTGTGGAAATACACATTTTTCTGGTTTTGGGCTTTTCCAACCAAGTTGTTGGAAAATTTTTAGAAAAATCATCGTAAGTCGAAATTTGGATCCGTAAATTCTGGAAGTTTGGAAATTTTGTCTACTTTGTTCACATTTTTTCTCATAATTTTTAACGGCTTCTAACAAGTGTGAAATTGCTCACCTTCACAGGCTGGTCCGAAATTATTTCAAATCTGATAGACAGTTTTGTAAAATTCTTCAAAGACTGTAGAAAAATCTAATGAAAACGTGAGAGTAGTCATTTTAAAGGTATAAACCTGAACTTTATCCATGTAAAACAGTTTTGAAAAATACTTCCATTAAGAGGGTCAAAACAATTCGAGATTGGGATAAAACTTTCCTGTCAAAAGCTGATTTTGAGTATAAGTTATAGATCTTTGAGCACAACACTTATTTTTGCTATTTCAAGTGTAAAATTCCCAGATCTAGAAGTTTATATGTAATATTTGTGATAAAACATACCTTTCTCAAGGTTCTTATGAAGATCCAAGTGATAAACTTCATGTTCTTAACATATTTTTAGATTAATAAAGTAATCAACATATAATCACCAAATAATTCATGGAAACACACATAGTCATGCATATACACATAGATCTGCACAAAGAAACTTGTATTCTCCCCCAAAAATAAGTAAAAACCAAAAACAAGGGGGTATGAACTCACTTGGCTTTGAAGTTTCGGTTTTGATGGAGGATATGGTGAAGATCTCGGCCTTAGCAAGTTCCTTGAAGAAGTTTTCAAACTTAGAGGGTTCTAGAAAGCTAGAACACAAAATGAACCATGTAAGGAGGTGTTATTTGTTTAACAAATGGAAAACAATGGCTTATGGAAGATAACAACTTACCAATATGGGTGAAACTTTGATGAATTCCTCTTAAAACATCCACAAACTTGAGAAAATATGGGGGAGATGGAGGAGTTCTT